GTGTTGTCTCAGATTCTCCAGCATCGGCAGTTCCTACTATCTCTGTAATAATGTTCTGGGGACCTGGGTTTGAATCCCGCCATGGCAGATGGTGGAATTTGAATTCAATAAATATCTGGAATTAAGAGTCTAATGATGGCTGTGAATCCATTGTCAATTGTTGGAAAAACCCATCTGGTTCATTAATGTCCTTTAGGGAAGGAAGCTGCCATCCTTACCTAGTCTGGCCTACATGTGGCTCCAGACCCACAGCAATGTGGTTGACTCTGAACTGCCCTCTGAGCCATTAGGGATGGGCAATAAATGCTGCCTAGCCAGCGACGCCCTCATCCCGTGAATGAATAAAGAAAAAAAAAATCACATTCAAACACACAGACGAGGAACAAGAGTAGGCCACTCAGCCCTTCAAACCTGCTCCACCATTCAATAAGATCAAGGATGATCTAATCTTAACCTCAACTCAATATTCCTGCATTTCCCCGATAATCTTTCAGCCCCTTGATCATCGAGACTCTATCTCCCTCTCTCTTAAAAGATTCTGCATTCACTGCCTTATGAGGAAGGGAATTCCAAACACTCTCAACCCTCAGTCAGAAAAAAAATTTCCTCATCTTTGTCTTATTCTTAAACTATGATCCGCCCCATCATCCATCTCATAGCAAATCAAATTCTCCCATCCTTGAATGAAAGCAAGTCATCTTCAATGCTGCAGGTCTGCTTGAGAGAGACAGTGAAAGACTACATATACATTCCATATGGTGCAATCATTCTTTAAATAAATACATTACCAACCAGGATCAGCTGTTTGAATGGGTAGAAATCGGAGACACCTCCCCTGGCTTTTATGTCGTTAATAATATCTTCCTTTTTAATAAGCTTGTAGGGTCGCTCCTCCGTCACATCCTGGTCAATCACACACTGGAAAATTTCTTGAGTCTTCGAGGTGAGAACGAGAGGAATAACTTCCTCATTGAACACTGCAAACAGGGTTTAATCTCATTTACTTTCCAGTCAAATTATTAGTTTCTACATGAAACACATTTTTAAATTTCAAAGCAATCTCATTGCCAGGGACCCTCACAGGGAAAAGCAGGTAAACTGTTACTTTGTTCCAGCCAAGTTACAAAACAAAACCCTGTCGTTTTGGATCAATTCACACAAGATGGTCCACTTGAAATTGTTATGGACCCCAGACCAAACCCCCACAAAATATATCAAGAGGATAGCCTGGACCGTAACCTTTGCTTATTTTAAAGATAAGTGCCAGGTGTTATGTTCAGAATATGATTCGATTGGTCAAAATACTTGTCCTGAAGCAAAATACCTTTATTCATACGTTGAGAGATAGTGGGAACTAGTAGGAACTGCCAATGCTGGAGAATCTGAGATAATAAGGTGCAGAGCTGGAGATGGGTCCAGACCCAAAACGTCAGCTTTCCTGCTCCTCTGATGCTGCCTGGCCTGCTGTGTTCATCCAGCTCTACACCTTGTTATCTCTTTATTCATACGTTATAGTTAAAATACAAATAAAAGAAAGAAGGAAACAAGGTTCTGCATGGTAGACTGGTTAGCAAGGTTAGATCACATGGAATACAGGGAGAACTAGCCATTTGCAAACAGAATTGGCTCGAAGGTAGAAGGCAGAGGGTGGTGGTGGAGGGTTGCTTTTCAAACTGGTGGCCTGTGACTAGCGCAGTATTCCAAATGTGGTCGAACCAAAGTCCTATACAACTGTAACATGACCTGCCAACTCTTGTACTCAATACTCCGTCCGATGAATGAAAGCATGCCGTATGCCTTCTTGACCACTCTATCCACCTGCGTTGCCACCTTCAGGGTACAATGGACCTGAACACCCAGATCTCTCTGCGCATCAATTTTCCCTAGGGCTTTTCCATTTACTGTATAGTTCGCACTTGAATTGGATCTTCCAAAATGCATCAACTCGTATTTGCCTGGATTGAACTCCATCTGCAATTTCTCCGCCCAACTGTCCAATCTATCTATATTCTGCTGCATTCTCCGACAGTCCCCTTCACTATCTGCTACTCTACCAATCTTAGTGTTATCTGCAAGCTTGCTAATCAGACCATCTATACCTTGCTCCAGATCATTTATGTATATCACAAACAACAGTGGTCCCAACACTGATCCCTGTGGAACACCACTGGTCACAGTTCTCCATTTTGAGAAACTCCCTTCCACTACAACA